TATCTGCATTTGGGTTTTGCAAAAAGTAAGACGGAGCAATTTTATGTCCGTGTAGTGAAGGATTTGCCGGAGCAGTATTAAAGCTAACATCAGGTACGTGTCAGGAACGATCAGTAAAAACAAAAAAACAAAACACAACAGAAGTTTGCAGGAGTCTCAAACTGTGTAAAACCTGGGTGGTGGGTTAGTGGTGTCCCCTTGGGGTATGTGGTCTCAAGTGCCTCAAGTCAGTGGACTGGCGGGTGATGGTCCCAGAGGTTTCCTCGGGGTGAACTCTCGTATGGTGGCTGGGTTTATCCTGGACAGTCCCGATCTTTTTGTGAGTGCAGCTTGGAGTATGCCTGCAGATGTCAGGAGTGATTCCAATTCTTGGTAGCTCTGCGCTTTATGTGATGTCCCGTTATAAGTGAACGATACAGCTCGCAGGGTTCCATATCGGTAGGGCAGCTCCCTGGCGCGGAGGTGCTGTAGTAGCGGCTGCAGTTTTTTCCACCAGGTAAGTGTACTCTTGGTGATATCCGGGAAAATCATTAGAGTGGTGTCCTCAAACGACAAGGGAGTTTTACCCCCTAGCACAGTTAGGAGTGCCGCTTTGTCTGATAGGCTCTGAAATCTTAAAATGAGGTCCGCGGATGCGGTTGCTGGAGCTCGGGTCGGCTTTGGTATTCAGAACATCCCGTTGAGCCTCAGGGACTTCGCCTGTTTTGGTGGAAGCAGGGCACCCAGGAGGCGCCTGATGTAGTGGGGTAGATTGGGGAGGCCCACGGAGTCAGGTATCCCTCAGATTTTTTGATTTGGTCCTCCAGTGCATCCAGACGGTTTGCTGTGGCATGCTGCTGTTTTTCTAGATCGGCTACTTGTTGTTCTACCGTAGTTAACCTGGAGTCCTGGGTGCTCGTGCAGGCCTCAAGCTGAGTGATTTTCAATTGGGCTCCTTCTATGGCCACTTTATAGTAGGCCATGTCTGCAGCCAAGTCTTTGCGTAATTCAGCCAGTATTTCCTTAAGCTGGCTTACAGTGACCGGGTCTCCGGGTGTTTTGGGCACCGTGCTATGTTTTGGTGCAGGCCCAATGGACGCTCCCTCCATAAGGTCTGTGTCAAAGTCCTCTGAGGAGTACGAGGCAAGATCGTCCTCCAGCGTCATCTTGGACCATGCGGCCTGTTGTGTGTTCCGCAGCATTTCCGTTTTAGTAAGAAAGTCAGCCGTCATGGGAAGAAATTTGTAGATCGAGTAGGTATAAGACCATATTCATGATATACACCATGTCATATGTTTGTGGAGCTTATATACTGGGTGGGTTGGGTAGGAGGGAGGCCAAAACATAGAAACATGAAAAGGAAAAAGAAAGTATGTACAGTTAACATTGCATAGTAGGCATATTTGTTGACTGAGAGGGAAACTAGAAAGAGGGTTCCCCATATATTCAGTCTGGGGCGGGGTTAGAATGTTTTCCATCGAAACTAGAGATTCGACCGTATCATAAGCATTGAAGTATATAGCATACCTTAGTAGTCAGGAGAAGTAAAGAATAGTCTCTAAGTTAGAACTGGTTGTTGCAAGGACATATATACATAAGAAACAATACATGCATTATACATATTGTAACAGGGATAACCATGCAGACTAGATATTCCCTGTAGGAACATTCCCTGTGTCCATATGATTCTGCATGTGTACACAGTTCATATATCTTGTGGAGTGTAATCTCACAGCCCTTTCTTTATAAATGTTGGGAGGCTGTCCAAGCCTCGTCCCCTTTTATTTTAAGTCTTTGGAGTTTTATGTTGTTATTTTGTTGCTATTTTTTGGGGGGGGATGATATTTATTTATTTATTGTTATTATTATTCATTTTATTTTATTTTTCTTATTGTAAATATAACAGAGGGGTCGAGGGCACGTTAGCCGCAACCAAACCCCAGGGTTCCCAATCTCTATAAGGGTTACTGAGAGGAGAGCTCTGTTTTGAGAGTAATGGCCATTGTGGTATGGTTTGGGATTGCACCTGCATGGGGTATCACTTTACATGATGTATTGGAAGCTAATGTCCGCTACCCCCCGCATGCCTGCTTATCAAATCATAAAGGTGGGGAGTTTGGCCCCTAGAAGGTTGTGTTAGGATTATAGTACGGGTCTCCGGGTATATCCCTTAGGCATTCCGGGAGCAGGGGCTGTAGCAGAATGGACCATGGTACCATATTCTTATACCGGCTCCGGGCTGTCTGTACCCCCATTTCCCCCTCCTCAACTGTTCAAGACATACTCCCCTTACTTTGAACTCTAATCTTTTCCCCTGTTTTACCTGGCCGTTCGCATAAATTGATTCCCTTAAGTGTTTCCCACTGTTTTGTTCGACAACCAAACAAACTACAGAACTGTAGAAACCCAGATAGGGAGAGTGCCACTCATTAACTCCTTTCACACCTCCATATACTGCAACCACATGAACGTTCTAAGTGGTTGGCTTGGTGGTTGAACACTTGGCGACAGCCATCTTTAGACACGAACAAAGGCAGCGGAACTAAAATCGGACACTCGATGGCGCAAACACTGCTGGGACTTCCACCTCCAGCTAAGTCCGACTAGAAGTACACGAACAAAGCGCCGTTTGGTTGAAGTAATCTAATGAACCAGATACATTCACTAACGCTATGCACGAACAGCTCCGTTCGACTATTTGAACATTACTTGCCTGTTAAAATAGACCGTCCGCACAGTCTAATTCTCTGGAACTATAATCTATAATCTATTTTGGGCATGAAACCATGCATGGGGTCGGTCGAAAAGTGACTTCCAATGAATTTGTGAACCCCTGCTCTGATTTTTGGGTATGTTGTTCACCCAGATCAGAGCTACCCGGGGATGTGCCATTTAAGGGGATATGTTATATTTTTGGGGTAGTTCTGAAACTTTGGAAAAATATGTGGTTTTCCTGCCTAGGGATGATTGAGTTATTACATTATCTACCAGACAGAGGGGAGGGCTTGTGCATACTGTATGGGAGTGTCTCCATGTACAACACTGTTTCATTGGCTTGTGAACTTTATGTCCCTGTGCCCACTTGGGTGTCGCCCTTGTTGGGAAAATCACATAAGAGGCCATTAAAACCAGTTATTCCCCCAGAGCTGAGTGTCATCCAGTTACTGGGGAGTTGTTGGGAATATCTTGGCTTACTTTGCTGTGTTTTGGCTGTTCCCTGAGTACATCTTGGAATAACCAGCGGAGGAGAGTCCCTGCTAGGACTATCCCATGAGTAGGAACTTAAGAGTGTTAGTGTGCTTTATAATGAGGGTCTAGGGTTATGCAATCACCATATGTTGTATTGCATAAGTGAAATAGAGGCTACATAGCATTGCTAAGCAGCATGTGTGGGCATTTGTGTTGAGGATATTGGGGCTGCCCTTGGTGGGGAATATTGGGACATGATGTGGCATAGTTATATTGTGCTTGCCTCCAACATCCTATGGGTTTGTGTCAAGGTTCTCATTGTGACAATCCAGACAGCCAGACGTGGTCGCCACAGAAATGTCCAACATGGGGATTTGAACCTTATGCATCCCAAGCCTGCATTCCTGCCTCTAAGCCACAATTCAGTTCATGTTTTAACAATTCACTATTCAGTTCAGAATTACCAATTTTTGTGTAGCCTGATTTTTTTTTTCAAAAAGTGAAAAATAAGTGTTATTGTGAACGCTTCATATACAGAACAAAGCATATACATTTCTATATTGTGTAAAGACACAACTACAAAGTTAAAAACCAAACACCAAAACAACGTGCCAGACAATCTACCTGTGCATGGCTAGTGTGATACAATAAGTCTACATCTTAAAAATGCAATAACCCACAGAAGATGGGCGAGAATTATTTTTGCAAATGGAACTTTGATTCGAATTTGCTACATCGGTCACTTGTAATATTGTTTCACACCTACAACACTTGTTACACAGATCTACGTGAAAGAAAACAGATTGATATTTTCTACACTAGAAACTACCAGATAACAAGCTGCTATATTTAAACCAGTGATCAATAGCTAAGAGGTACTTCAATACCCTCACAAGTCAAACTGAGAGGTCAGTTTATAGGGAAAACTGTTGCCTGGAGGAAATTCTAAAACAATTTACATATGTCATTTGCAGACTTTACATGCTGGAAAAACACAGGAGCCAACTGCTGTGGCTTTCTGCAGTGTGTATACCGGCAAGGAGGGCAGGGTTGAGGAGGATGATGAGGTCCTAGACCCCACATGGAGTCAAGGTCATGCGAGTGACGTGTGCAGTTTGGAGGAAGAGGCGCTGGTCACACAGAGGCACCAGCATAGCATAAAAGGGAGCAGGGTGCAAAAGCAGAGCTCATCGGCATGTATTAGCGCGAGAATTACCAGTTATCCAAGTAATACATGTAGCGATTAAAGGATCCATAATAGACTTGAGCGAACCCAAACTGCAAAGTTCGGATTCGTACCAGATTTAACGATCTATTTATAGTTTCACAGTGAGGTGGGCAGTCCAGTGACCAGAACCCAGACACTGTCTGGGCGGCGGTCGGACGACCAGAACCCAGTATGCCTGATGTTGAAGTTAGGAGTCACAGTGTGGAATGGATTAGCAGGGTCTGGTGCAGGGTAACTGCACGCCCCCTGGTGTTGAGCACCAGCATTTGTGCGACCACATTCCAGGACCCTGATACCAGAATCCATCACCAGACTGATCTGCAACTTGGAACAGGATGTGACATTCACTGTAGCGGCTGTGCATGCTTTTGGCGTTGTCACCCTGCTGCTGCTCGCCTGTCTGCGCTGCAGCATAATTTCGGCCTTCCCGCTCACCACCTTATGAGACTGTGCGAGCAGCAGGCGATAGTGGAGTTTCAGCTGCAGCACGCATGGGTCAGTGGCTCTGCACCAGACTTCCCTCCAATTGATCAGAGTTAAAGGATTTCAAACGGACTCATTACAATTACAGGGCCTCTAAAGAATCCTGTATTGTTATTTGTTGTCACTATCTTCCCGCATCGGGAGTGGGTAATTTGCGCACCTGCTGCCTTCCTTGCATGTGGTAGCCGTTTCTCAGGGTCCCTGTACGGAATGGAACCCTGATTCCCCGTTACCCGTGGTCACCATGATAGGCACAGAAACTGGCATTGAAAGTTGATATGGATGACATCCGCATGCAAAGTCGCCGCTACGGGAATGTACTATTTGCCCAAGGTTCTCTAGAGTCAACAAAGTTCCTGCGCAACTATAATGTCAACAGCTACTCTGCGGAACAGAGTTGTCTTTTTTTATTATTCCGACGACTGCGGTTATCCAGGTCATCTAGGTGTCTGTGTAATGACGCTATTGTTTGTGCTTGAGAGTCAATCTGCACTGCGAGATTTGTGAGTTGGGCCTGTGTAACTTCCTTTTCTTCCTCTAGGTCCAAGACCCAGCCTGTTACCTGTTGGATGTCCGCCTCCAGTGTTTCCACTTTCGCTTGGAAGGCAGTCTCCAGTTTCCCTAGTATATCAGCTAGGTCTGCTTTTGAAGGTAAGTTTAGGAGAAGTTCAGCTTATGATCTGTGTTTGGTGATCTGTTCGAGCCTTATGATGGTCAAGTTCGAGCCCGAATAGGCCTTTTGTGTACATAAAAAAAGTGTTAGATCATTGAGTTCAGCTCATAAAAAATAGGGGCAAAAACAAAAGTGTTGCATTTATAATTTTGTTTAGTGCACTATGTTTGATTTAATGTCTTATTTTCCATATGCGTATACTTATTGATGGATACAGAATTTGTTTGCCCCATTTTCACAATTTTCTTGAATTTGTTTGCCCCATTTTCCCAATCTTACAGTTGTTGTTTTTTTACTTAAAATCATTTTTAAAAGTTAATAAAAACTATTTGAAAATATTTTTATTATTTCATTACTTTTTTTTATTAAGACGAAATATGAGATACACCACTTATTAAACATATACCTTCAGTTTTAATATTTAAGAAAAATAAGAAATCTAATCCAAGTAGACTGAATTTGTAAATTATATAAAGCAAATAACTACCATGGGAATTTTGAAAATGCCAGATCAGGAAAAGAAATAAAATATACTGAACATAATCATTTGTGCCGTCACTGATTTTGAAGTATCTTACACTTGGGATTTGCATTCCTTTTTAGTAATCCCAGACACAAAACTCAATTATATAAGCTTTAAGTTTACAGTGATTGAAGATCCAGAAAAGTTTATTTTTTTTATAAAAGAAGACTTTTTAAACACCTTTTATTGTGCAGTTTAGTTTTCATTTTATTTTTGTCAGGAGTAGGGATATATAAAAGTCTTTTTTTACTCTATATTACTAACTTACTATGTATTTGAAGATTATATGTGTTCCTTTTTTAAAAAAAAAACTCAATATCATGATATCATGCTATTGTATGTAGTAAAAAAAATATATACAGAAAATTGAGCACGTAGCACAAATCTTTAGGATCTGAATTTCAATGGCTAGGCTCAACATACAAAGGTAGGAAAAACAGCAATTTCCATCATATAGATAAAAGCATGTAAAAACAAACATTTTAATTGTTTTATTATTTGTTCATACTTAAATGAACACTGCAAGAACCACAATAATTTCAGCCTACGGTAGTGGTTATGGTGCCTGGAGTATCGAGGTTACCTCCGTGAATAAATAGTCAAACCCAGTGGCGTACACATGACCCATGGGGCCCCGGTGCAAAAATTGATCCGTGAGCCCCCGCCCCCTCCCCCCCGCGCTTACTCAGCCCAGGTCGGGGTCGCAACACATGGTGGCGGGCACCTGGTCGCAGGGGTTGCAGGGCTGCGACCCCGCGACCGCGGTATGCACACACACTTAAAGGACCACTACAGACACCCTGATCACATCAGCTCAATGAAGTGGTCTGGGTGCCAGGTCCCTCTAGTTTTAACCCTGCAGCTGAAAACATAGCCGTTTCAGAGAAACAGCTATGTTTCACTGAGGGTTAATCCAGCCTCTAGTGGCTGTCTCATTGACAGCTGCTAGAGGAGCTTCCGCGATTCTCACTGTGAAAATCACAGTGAGAAGACACTGAACGTCCATAGGAAAGCATTGAGTAATGCTTTCCTATGGGCGGTTTAAATGCGCGCGCGCCTCTTGCCGCGCATGTGCATTTCGGAGCTCAGAGGCGGACACTGGGGAGTCCGACGCTGGAGAAAGGTAAATGCTGAAGACACACACACACACTCCCACGAACAGACGCATACAGACTAGCTAACAGACACACACATTTACTGACAGAGACACACTCAGCGACAGACATACATACACACTCACTTACAAAACATACACTTTCACTGACAAACACACACTCACTAACAGACATCAAACACACTCACTAGCAGATACACACCCAATAACAGACACATTCACTGACACACACACACTAGCACACACACTAACACAAACACTGACACACACACACTAACACACGCTAACACACATACACTAACACACACACATACACTAACACACACATACACTAACACACACACACATACACTAACACACACATACGCTTTTTTTTCCAGATTTAATCCCCCCAGCCTCCTTACCTTTTGGAGTGCTGGGGGGATTCCCTGGGGTCCAGTGGTGCTGCTGCTGGGCTCCTGGGCAGCAGGTCACTGGGTGGGCGGGCTGTCTGTGTGGGCGGCGCGTGAGGGAGCACTTTCCCCTGTGTGCTTCCTCTTCAGCTCCCTCACGCGCCGCGTAGGGATGCCGGCGCCGGAAGATGACATCATCTTCCGGCTCCGGCATCAGTGCGGTGCGCGAGGGAGCTGAAGAGGAAGCACACAGGGGAAAGTGCTCCCTCCCGCGCCGCCCGCCCAGACAGCCCGCCTACCTGCCCGCTGGGGTCAGCGGGGTCAGCAGGGCCAGCCTCGGAGGGGCTTGAGGTGGCCACCTCCTGGGTCCCCCAGGGGAAGAGGCTGGCCCTGTGGCGTACATACCGGGTCGCAGGGGCGGCCGGGCCCCCTGGTGGGCCGGGCCCGGTCGCAGCCGCGACCCCTGCGACCCTGATATGTACGCCACTGGTCAAACCATTTAAGAACAGTTTGATAATTACTCTCTTTGTCTGCTGCTACTTCATAGATAACGGAAACTCATTGCAGAAACTTTCAGAAGCAGATGATAGAGTAGGTGGTGCCCAAAGATCCGGGCGATTGTCAAATGTTTCTTAAATATTTATTTACTCTGGGAGGTCACCAGGACACTTGTGGTACCATAACCACTTCTGCAGACTGAAGTTGATATGGTGCTTGGAGTGTTCCTTGAAAGGCATTTGCCAGTAACCTGATGTAATTTTTGTGACGGTAGCGTTCTAAAAATGCCACTAGATTGTTAAAATATTATCTGAATGTGAGCATCAAAAAAATTAAAGTCTTTCAATCGGAGCAAAATTACTCCTTAAAAAATCATGGAAACCTGAATGACATTTGCTTTTTACTACCGTATATACTCTAGTATAAGCCGACCCGAATATAAGCCGAGGCCCCTAATTTTACCCCCAAAAACTGGGAAAACTTATTGACTCGAGTATAAGCCTAGGGTGGGAAATGCAGTAGCTACTGGTAAATTTCTAAATAAAATTAGATCCCAATAAAATTACATTAATTGAATATTTATTTACAGTGTGTGTATATAATGAATGCAGAGTGTGTGTTTGTGTGTGTATATAAGAAATGCAGTGTGTGTTTGTGTGTGTATATACTGAATGCAGAGTGTGTGTTTGTGTGTGTATATAATGAATGCAGAGTGTGTTTGTGTGTGTATATAATGAATGCAGTGTGTGTGTTTGTGTGTTGTGTGTGTATATAATGAATGCAGTGTGTATATAATGCAGTGTGTGTTTGTGTGAATGCAGTGTGTGTGTTTGTGCAGTGTGTGTAAACTGGGTGAGAGGAGGGCATTTTTATTTTTTATTTTAATATTATTATTTTAATATTATATTATTTTAATATTATTATTTTATTTTAATATTATTATTTTATTATTATATTATTATTATTTTAATATTTGCATTTTTATTTTTTTTATGGTTTTTTGTCCCCCCTCCCTGGCCAGGCAACAAGCAGGGAGGGGGGACAAAAAAACATTTGAAAAAAAATAATGCAAATATTAAAATAATAATAATATAATAATAAAATAATAATATTAAAATAAAATAATAATATTGAATCCCTGGTGGTCCAGTGGATGGGCTGTGCAGTGGGGGGTCTGGCAGTGAGCTGTTACTTACCTTCCTGCAGCTCCTGTCAGCTCCCTTCTCCTCCGTGCAGCTCGCAAGACTTACACTGTGAGCAGAACGGAGCTGACAGGGGAGTTGCACGGAGGAGAAGGGAGCTGACAGGAGCTGCAGGAAGGTAAGTAACAGCTCGCTGTCAGCCCCCAACAGGACCGCCGGGCTTGTAATGAGCCCGGTGGTCCTGGTCTGTATTATGGCAATGTAAGTTGCCATAATACAGATCTTGACTCGAGTATAGGCAGAGTGGGGGTTTTTCAGCACAAAAAATGTGCCGAAAAACTCGGCTTATACTTGAGTATATACGGTACTTTGCATTGCGGCTTCCTTAATTTAAAAAATGACTTCCAGTCAAATTAACCCTTCCAGTTCTGCAGTGGAGAGGTGCACAATCCACTGCTCTCTTCTGTGACACTTACATGTAAATTAAACCTTTTTAAAAAAGACATGCTTAGTTGTGTGACACCCAGTGGCGTACCACGATCCATGTGGCCCGGTGCGAAAATTGATCTGTGGGCCCCCCCCCGGCTCTTACTCTGGCGCCTGGACCGCGGTATGCCTGCCAGTGCATGCAGATACACATACATTTTAAGGACCACTGTAGGCACTCAGATCACTTCAGTTCAATGAAGTGGTCTGGGTGCCAGGTCCCTCAAGTTTTAACCCTGCAGCTGAAAACAGCAGTTTCAGAGAAACTGCTATGTTTTACTGAAGGTTAATCCAGCCTCTAGTAACTGTCTCAATGACAGCCGCTAGAGGCGCTTCCGCGATTCTCACTGTGAAAATCACAATGAGAAGACGCTGGATGTCCATAGGAAAGCAATGAGTAATGCTTTCCTATGGGCGGTTTGAATGCGCACGCGGCTTTTGCCGTGCATGCGCATTCAGAGCTGAGAGGCGGATCAGGGCGGAGAGATCCCCAGTGCCAAGGGAGCCCGGCACTGGAGAAAGGTAAGTGCTGAAGGGCTTTTAACCACACACAGGAGAAGAGGCTGGAAAAATGTGGCCACACTGGCGTACATACCGGGTCGCAGGGCAGCAGGGCCTGGTCGCAGCTGCGACCTCTGCGACTGCGGTATGTACGCCATTGGTGACACTCCAATGTGTAATATGGGAG